TTTTTCCTTTTCATTTTTTCCATTTCGGCCCACACCTGGCAATGTGCCAGGCTCCCTCCTGGTGGAACTTGGGGAAACCACTTGTGGTACTAGGAAAGGTCAAGCTGGGGTCAGTAGCGTGCCAGGCAGGTTCCTTACCTGCTATACTATTTCTTTGGCCCTAGATTTGTGTGTTTTTAAACGTTAGTCTAAGTTCTCAGTAGAAATTAATGTGATGGTTAAGAATGGATGTCAGAGACAAGGAATGAGGAAGCTTTTGTGCTCCTTACAGGATGTATTAATAGCTTGAACTAATCACAGGATCAGCAGGAATTACTGATCTAATCATGGATGACATAAATGCAGATAATAAGAAGAGGCAGGTTTGTTATTACAGAGTTTTCTGGCTCAGATAAATGATATGATACATTAGTATAAGTATTAATCTGGAATTTTTCATTATCTTATGTCTAATGGGGACATTCTCCTTCCTTGACAGGAAGCTGTAGGAAGGGCGGGTTTACGAGGGCTGGAGCGATAGCACAGCAGCTAGGGCCTTGCATGTGGATGACCCGGGTTTGATTCCCAGCATCCCATATGGTCCCCCAAGCACCAACAGGGGTAATTCCTGAGTGCAGAGCCAGGAGTGACCATTGTGCATTGTCGGGTGTGACCACCCCCCCAAAAGAAGGGCGGTTTTGCAGGGAAAGGTCCTGAGTCTAGTTTGAAATCTCTCTGAAGCTTGTTTCTCATGTTTTGCATCACCCTTGCTGTGAAGGATAAAGATGTGAATTCTTTCTGTGCCTTCCCTGCTGACGCTCTCTGGAATTCACCCTCATTTTGTTGAATGCGACCCTTGTTTCTCTGTCACTCGACCTTCTCAGTCTCTCCCATTTTGTCTCCCCTGCTGTGGTATTCTCTCCCAGGATTCCCTTCCCATTCTCTTTATTTGCTCGTACCTTCATGTGGTTCCGGTTTCCCCATCAGCATCACTTCTTCCAAATATTGGAAAACTACTGTTGGTGCCAACATTTTCATATAGTGTATGATGCATATTTTGACTATTGGAGATGTCTTCTTGTTTTTTTTTTTGTTGTTGTTGTTATTAATTTTTTCAGACCCAGTGATGCTCAGAGATTACTCCTGGCTCTGCATTCAGGAATTACTCCTGGTAGCTCATGGGGAACCATATGGGATGCCAGGAATCAAACCTGGGTCAGCCTCGTGCAAAGCGAGCACCACCTCCTTGCTGTACTATGGGTTCTGGTCCCTGAGTACTGGAGAGAGTTTTAAGGAACCAAAGCTACTGGGTTCTTCTAAATGTTCTTAATTTAAAAATGGGCTTAAACTAGTTCTACCTGCCCTCATGAAGTTCTGTTCATTATTTGTAGTACAGGTAGATTTGTTTCTGTGTGTATTTTTAGGTACCCCCATTTTTTTTTCTGTTTCATCTGTTTCAGTCAGAACTATGTAAGAGGTATATTCACTCCTCTTCCTGGGTCCTTGAAGTTGGTCTGTCCTAGATTCTGGATCACACAGCAATCAGAAAGGCTCAGGTTTTTATGCCTGTCTTAAATTTTTGTTTCCCATTTCCCCCCTCTCACACAAAAGGGAACTCTCTAGTGTTTCTATGCGTTTTGCCCTTAAAAAAAAAGTAGAACAGTATATCTTGGCAGTCACTTTATGTCAATTCATCAAGAACTTCTGATTGCTTTTAACAACTATGTGGAATACTGTATGTGCATGAGATAGACTTAATTAGTTATTTTCTTCTTTCTCCTAGTTGTTTTGGCCCTTGGGTTGTTCCTACTATTTCTCAGCTACAGCCAGTGACTCATCTTGTAGATAACGTGTTTTTTTTTTTATTTATTTTTATTGCTAGTAGCATATGTTCAGAGTAAAAGTCTGAGTAGGATGGCTGGGTCGTGGCTAAGTGTATTTAGTGTCCGGGTGCATGTTGCCAAGTTCTATACCAGGAGGGCTGCCGAGTCGTGTCTGGCCGGCAGTCTTTGGGGTGCCTTTTCCCTCACTACCGTTCCCATAAAACGTGCTGATGTGCTTTTAAATTCTCACCGAAGGGAACAGATAAACTAGAGAAATAAATTTAGGGAATGAATAGGAGCTCAAGAAAGAAACAAATGAGATTAGAGGACTATAGTTCAAGTTGAATCTCTGTAGTTCAGTCCTGGTCTGCAGTTTCCTTTTGTGCTATCCTGGGTTTTGTTTGTTTGTTTATTTGTTTGTTTGTTTTTTCCACAGAATATCTCTGTGGTCCAGGATATTCCAGAATTAGGTAGGGAATAGAAGAACGCAAGCAATTCCAGCTTAGCTAAATGGGCAGAATCTAAAAGTGTCACCCACGGGCCACAGAATGATATAAAAAAATTATCTAGTCTGACAAAAGTAGAGAGAATGCCAGTAAAGTAAGATGGAAAGAAAAGAAAGGGACGAGAAAGGGGGCCCCACAGGCCGCCATGGCTCCCAGCACCTCAGCTGGGTCTGTGGAGTCTCGCTCCGTGACCTTCACACAGTGGTGGAGTTGTTACTAACCATCATGAAGGGAAGTACAAGCGTCAAAGCTACCATGCAGATAGTAGGGGGAGGTCAGTGACAGCCAGGGCAGAGAGATCGTCACAGAGGTTAAAGCAGTTTTGCACGAAGCAGACCCTGATTCAGTCCCCAGCACCACACATGATCCCCTGGACCAGGTGTGGGCCCCCAAACCAATCAATAAAATTTCTAAGTGGAAAGGTGTGAGCTAGTGGAAAATATATGCATTGACTGGTCTCTGCCTCAAGTTTTTGCAAAAGAGATCCAAACCCCCCTGCCACGTCCTAAGTGGTAAGAGTCTTGGTTATAGTGTTTGATCTTTGATCCCTGTTCCAGACAGATTTCTGGGGTGAGAGCCATATTGTTTGCTCTGAGGTGATGCTGGGTGGAACCCATGAGTGGGAGCTTGGATGCTTCTGCCCTGATCTCCAGAGAGGGCACAAGGGCTGGCTCTGGAATGAGAGATCTCCCATCCGCGCATGGTAAAGGTGTGGAAACCGCCATGACAGGGTGTGCAGGAAGCTGCCACGTTGGTGAGCGTTTGGTGAGCACTGGTAGAGGGCCACTGGAATGAGCTGAGAGCTCTTCCCCCTGTGTCCTTTACCCTGTCCCCTTATAATGGACTGCATAAGGTAAATGACAGGGGAAGACATGTGGGAACTGCCAAGCTGGACGGAATTTTTGCAAAGATTAGGAGTTAAAGTGGGAGAGTTTCATCTCCTCATTCAAATGTTTGCTTCTTTTCGGTGGTGGTATCCTGTGAGTGTTGGTGATTTGGAGCTGTGTCCCAGACTTTGAACGTCACAAACGTGCTTTGTGGCAGCTGTGTTACGGAGAGATCTGCTGGGGTTCCTGGGAGCGTGTGGGTAGCTTTGGTGTCGGTAAAGGGTTCACACTGCCCAGTGGGTTCACAACACGTTTCTCCTCGTCTTCTCTGAACTCTTGATCCTTCCTTCACTCATCCCGGTAATTCAGTTCTCCATTCTTGAGGCATTTGCTATTTGAGTTTGGGTTTATCTCACACACGTGTGGTTTAGCAGTGAAGATGAGGTGTGTTTGTTTTTCACTCAGAAATGGGGAATCACCCTCTCTTTTTTCCCTTCAGGGTTTCGTCCACAATTTCAGTTTTCCAAGTTACTTGAACCAAAAAGGCAGTAGCATTTCCACTGGACTCTGAGCATTTTCCTACATAGCAAAGAGTTTCCTCTGTGTGTGTGTGTGTGTGTGTGTGTGTGTGTGTGTGTGTGTGTGTGTATGCACGTGCACGCACATGCTTTTATGCTGACACACATAGTTTTTGATGAGTGTTGAAAATGTGATATTTATGTTGTCACTATTACCTTCACTAGTATCTCACCCTCACGGCAAAGCCTGGCAAACCACCCGTGACGTATTCGATATGCCAAAAACAGTAACAAGTCTCACAATGGAGACATTATTGGGCCCGCTCGAGCAAATTGATGAACGACAGGAGGACAGTGACAGTGACAGTGACTATAGTAGTCCATATTGATTTTTTCCCCACTCTGAATCTCGCCTCTATTTTTTCTATACTAACTTCATAATTACCACACCATGTTTGATGGGGTTCAGACAGTAGGCAACAAATCATAGATAGAACTATATATATATGCCTCTCGGAGAGACTTGCAAGCTACTGAGAGTATCCTGGCCGCACGGGCAGAGCCTGGCAAGCTCCCCGTGGGGTATTTGATATGCCAAAAACAGTAACTGTATCAGGTCTCATTCCCCTGACCCTGAAAGAACCTCAAATTGTTAGGAAAGACGAGTAAGGAGAGGCTGCTAAAATCTCAAAGCTGGGACGTATAGAGATGTTACTGGCGCCTGCTTGAGTAAATCGATGAAAAACAGAATGACAGTGATCCAGTAATACAGTGAACTTCTTAACAAACTTTTAGAAAAGGAATGTTTATAGTTGTCCACACTCTTGCCAGCCATAGTAAGGTTTGTTCTAAGAACTATAAACAGGAATTATAGATAAATTAAAGAGACCTTTTATTTCAGAAATATGATTATATTGTCACATCCTCTTCTTCGGTTGTGTTGTTAGGTTAGATAAATTTTTAAAAAACAGTGTGACATTGAATCCCAACATAAAGCAGTTCTGTATCTCATTCTGGGCACACACCAGATGGAGAAATGTTACCGCATTTCTGCATGTTCTGGAGATGTATTTTGCAGCTTTGTCTAAAGAGCATAAAGACTTTAATCCTAAAATAATCATATGATTTTCATTATATACAATTATATGTAGTCACCAAGATTTTCATGAGATTTAGATTTGTTCTCTTTTTTTGTTCATTTTTTTACATTTTAAAATGTGTTTTTAAATGACTTATTTAGTTCTGCGTTTTTCTCTATTATCTCTGGGCTGTTTATATCACTGTGTGATTGAGCATATGCAAACTCCAGTACTTTGTTATATTTACTTTCAAATTTTTCCCATTTAGATGGTCTTCTGATCATTGGTGTTCACTCGGCTAAGTTTCCAAACGAGAAGGTCCTGGAGAACATTCAGAGCGCTGTTCTCCGCTACAACATCACCCACCCTGTGGTCAACGATGCAGATGCCAGCCTTTGGCAAGAGCTGGAAGTGTCCTGCTGGCCAACTCTGGTCATTCTTGGGCCCCGTGGAAACATGTTATTTTCTTTAGTTGGAGAAGGGCACAAAGACAAATTATTTTTGTATACTTCGATTGCTTTAAAGTATTACAAAGACAGGGGACAAATCAAAGATCATAAAGTTGGAGTAAAACTCTATAAGGATTCTTTGCCGCCATCACCCTTGCTGTTTCCTGGCAAAGTGACCGTAGATGATGTTTCCAATAGACTGGTAATAGCAGACACCGGACATCATAGAATTTTGGTCGTCGAGAAGAACGGGCAAATCCAGTATAGCATTGGAGGTAATGCTTCTATCTAATGGTGAGATCTAATGTGTTTGACAGTAAAAATATTGTGTAAGGAAATATGTTCAAATTGAAATGATAACAGTTATAGAGTCACTGTGTATGTTAATTTTTAATTTTATTACAAGTTAATTTTGCTAATATGTGGTCTCTAGATTATTATCTTTACACTTCTTCAAAAAATACCCCTCCAAATATCTTTGAAATCAGAAGGACAGCTTTAAGTTGTCGTTTTTATCTAGAGTTGTATATTCAGTCTTGGTTTTTCTTTTTTTTTTTTAATAAAAAAACTGCTTTACTTACACTCATGTATAATGCACATTATGAATTAGTGGCACTTTCCACTTATGATTGACTTCCCATACAAAATAGAGATATATCTTTTTAAAGACCAGGCTACTGCCCTGGAAATGGGAAGTGCCCTGGAAATGGGAAGTTTAGATGACATGAAAATGGCCTCTGATTTGCACATTCTTTTTTTTTTTTTTAACTTTTTGGCTTACACCCAGCGATGCACAGGGGCCACTCCTGACTCTGCACTCAGGAATTAGCCCTGGCAGTGCTCAGGGAACCATATGGGATGCTGGGAATTAAACCCAGGTCAGCCGCGTGCAAGGCAAACGCCCTACCCACTGTGCTATCACTCCAGCCCCTGATTTGCACATCCTTTAATTCTCCTCCCATGAGAGTCTGAGAATGGAGCTTGGTAAGCGAGCTGCGGCTGCTCTCAGTGCCTCAGGCACTGGCTCCTTGGAGACCCTCCAGCTCTGCTGCCTGGCATCCCCAGGAGAAAAGGACCTGGAAGATGGTTCCTGGCTCCCAATGCACCCAGGGCACCTGTGAACTTCCACCTCATGCCACAGAGCAGTCCTGCCAGCCCCAAGGTCTCCCATCTCCTTCGTGGGGGAAGGAAAAAACCAAAATGCCAGTGTACTTCCGAGTCGGTCGCCTTTGGGCGTAGTGGAACAGGAGGAACAGAGCACTGGAGCACTGGAGCACAGTCCTCCTGTTGTTCATCGATTTGCTCGAGCAGGCACCAGTAAAGTCTCTATTGTGAGACTTATTGTTACTGTTTTTGGCATATCGCATACGTCACGGGTAGCTTTTGTTCCTATCTTTCTGTTCTTAATGCTGAGAAGGGCCGTATTTGGCATAATAAGATCTATTAAATACCCTTATTAATTCTGCTCTCTCACCGAATGAACATCTGAATTAGTCAAGGAGCAAAGTAATTTATCTCCACGGTCCTTAGTAGTAACCCACGCAGCATTAGTAAATAATGTAGGAATAGCTGCATTCTTAATGCAAATAAATTAATCATATTCCTAAGCCCTGGTGCTACTCTCAGCATACTGAGATATTATTTCCTTCACTCTTAAATTTTTTATAGTTCCTGAGTGTTGCTTTGTTACACTGCTTATTTTGTTTTGACTGTTTAGTATTTCGGTCGATAGTAGGCAGTTCTGAGAACACAATAAGTTGAGTTTAAATGATTAGACATTTTTCATATTCAAATACTTTGAATATTCTGTGAGTGAATATTTTTAAATATTCAAATATTCACTCTTTGTGAGTATTCTGTTAAACCAACAGCCCTCTCAAATACATTTCTCATCATGATTATCTCATGATGTACTTAGTGGTTATTCTATAATATAGAAAAAGATTTCGGTAGTTAGATGCACTCAGGGGAGCCTGGCTCGGTATAGTTTCACCGATTTCTGGTGTGGCTGTGGCTGTACTTCTGAGACTGCTCAAGCGCGCCTTCCATGTGTCAGGCTGGAGAGAGTTCTATGCACCGTGTTTTCCAGTTGGAAGTGACCCCACTTTTGTTCTTAGGGAGCATTGCCACCACTATTAATAGTAGTAGGATAAGAAAAATGAAAGAAGTGCATATTTTGCTGGCATTATTCTAAGCACCAGTGTCACTGTATTTCGTGAGTTCTCAGAGTGCTACTGTGAGTTAGTTCTATGTTTAGTTCCCTTTGCAGAAGGGAAACTAAAATACGAAGAACTTGCCCAATCATCTGGCTCAGCAGGAAGAGGCAGAAGTGGGATTTAAATCAAGTGTGGCGAGCCTCGCATTCATGTTCCTGCCACTGCATTCCACTGCTCTCGATAGCGTCTAGCGTAGAGCCCTTCAGCACACTCAAGGACTGTGTGGATTGCCTTGGGTCACAGCATTAAGTGATGCTTTGCTAAGTTATGAAGTCTTCACCCCTGAAACTGCACCTGTGTTACAAAAGCCCAGGCCATTGGACCGGCCGTTCTTCTCTTTCTTCGAGTTTGTATGAGGTGTTATAAAACTTTATCACAAAGTAAAATAATACGCATCACTATTAAGGATCCTTAATCTGGGCCTCTTGAATCATTAAGAAATGCTTGAATGCCTTTCCTAGGGATCTGAGAACCTCTATGAATTGTTTGCACCATTTGGTGAGCATGTGTATTTTTCGAACGAAAGGTTCCTGGCATGTATTGTATTGTTAAAAAAAAATGTGAATCTTATTAAATTGTGGGAAATTGTCTATGTAGATGGTAAAAGAGTAAAATTTGTTTTGAACACTTTTTAGCCCAGGTATTAATTCTTAAATTCCTGTTGATTTTATTCCTTCTGCCGCTATTTGCCCTGTCAATAACAACTCACTTTTAAGAAAAGCAACTCTTGGGAAGCTTTCTCATTTTAATTCGAAGTGTTTTTCATTTATATTCATTTACAGCTTTAAATTCAAATTTTATTGTTATTATTTGGATTTTCTCTGAGATACTTTCATAAGGAGAAAACTTGTCTTATGTCTACCTTGTATTTTAGGGCCGAACCCTGGAAGAAAAGATGGAATATTTTCAGAATCAGCCTTTAATTCACCACAGGGTGTAGCCATAATGAATAATGTCATCTATGTGGCAGATACTGAAAACCACCTAATCAGAAAGGTAATTTTTTTTTTAATTTTAAGAAAAGTTTTAAAAGTCCTAAACAAGATAACTGATATTTATTTGCAACATTAAGTATTGAAAATGAGAGCAAATACTTCAAAGTATCCTTATTTAGATTTTTTTCCAGGGCCACTTGCTTTACTCAAGTGTCTTGTGTTTCTGTACATCCACTTGTATTTGTTGCAGAAAATATACCCTTTAAGACTTTTTGGAGGGGTAGCAAGTTGGGGCAGCCTAGGTGCTACTCTTGGCTCTGTTCAGGGGTGGTGTTTGGGGAACCGTATGATGCCAGGGATTGAACCAGAGTCGGCTGCATTTCTCTCCAACATTAATTCCCCCCCACCCCCGTCTTTGTTTCAGTCATATACTTAATCTCTCAAAAACTCCCATTTGAGGTATTTTCCCAGTGATTACTTAGGAAGTGATACATTGTCCTTTTCAGTTAAAATTCGGTTAAATTTTTCTCAAAACAAGAAAAATTATATCATTCCCATCTTCCTTCAGCTCGTATTTTTTTTCTTGGACATAGCAAGTACTCTTAAAAATTGGTTTTATTTTGTTATAAAAGTTACTAGATTTTGATTTTTAAAAGTTAATTAAAACATAAGGGCTAAAAGCCTGTAATTCAGTCTATTTCAGTTTCTCAGAAATAGCCAACTTTTGCTAAAATTTCTCGTTTTAGAAATTTCCTATTCGTGTGAATAAACTTATCTTAAAAGGACTAGCGTAGAATTTTTTTTAAATGTAATCATACTGTACATACATGATCTTATGTCTTTAACTCACCATTTTCATATTTATCACATGAATGCTATAACTGCATTGTACTAAATTATAGAAGTACCTATAACTTTTAACATTTATATGTAAATAATATATTAAGATTTTTGGTTAATATATGACTGGGTATAATCCATTGGTCAAAACATAACTCTTTTAGATATAGTTTTCTTTTCTCACTATTTCAGTATAATTATTATGTCTGTTTTATTTGATCTTTTCTAATATTAGGCATAAATTCTTCCTAACCTTAAGACATAATAGTAGGAGAAAAAACATACAGCATTACCATAATTTAGTCCTAAAATAGCATGGGGCTTAGCCCATTGTATGTGTTCACCAGACATATGTTGTATGAATTTATAAGTAAATAATTTCTGCTTAATGAAGCATTTTCTAATGTATTTGTTCCTCATAATATGAAAATTATTTTGTGATTTTATAAATTTTGCAGACTTACTCTTTGAAAGTCTTAAGAATTTTCTCTGTGGAGACTGTTAAGCTAATCTCTTATGACTCCGTTGGTGAGAGGTATCTGCGGTCTCTCCGTTTTAGACAGAACTCTTGTATCTCGTAGATGGGCAGACGGAACTTATGATTTCTTGGCATGTGGTTTGTAAATCTGTATTTTCTCTTTAATGCCTACATGGTATTTATTTTTCATTAAATTTAAACAGCCTTTCATGAATTCTGTGTCAAAGGCTTTAGTAGGAAGGTTGCTTTGGAATTTGCTTTAACCATTTAATCACTTGAAGTGTCTGTGGGCACAGGAAGTCTGTGTGTCACCCCCCCCCCACACACACACACACACATACACACCTGATTACTCTGGTTTTGGTTTGTTAGGTTTGGCATCAGAACTCACTGTGTTATTCTTTGCTTTGTATGTGTAAACACATCTCTTGCCCAGATGAAATTCAATTTTATTTTGACATAAACACCTTCATTTTTTTTTAATTTGTTCTTTGCTTTTTGGGGTCAGAGCCAGCTGTGTTCAGGTCTTAACTCCTGGCTCTGTGTTTAGGTGGGGTTCTGGGGACCCTATGCGGTGCCAGGGATTGAGTATGGATCAGCTGTGTGCAAGGCAAGCACCTTACCTGCTCACTGTCTCAGGTCCTTGACACCTTTGGTTTTAAAAATAGCTCTGGGCTCTCCCAGGTTCTTGAGGACCTGCTTATAGTCAGCAAAAAATGGCCTTGCACAGCAGCCGTCCAGCTCTTTCTGTCTGTCTAGTTGGCCTCCACATGTCCCAAGATGGCAGAAAGAGGATTTTCTGTTTCTTAGACCTACAAGGTCGTTATTTATTTTTTTGTTATCTTTTTTTTTCTTTTTGGGTCACACTGGCGATGTACAGGGGTGTTGACTGCATTTCAGATGCCTTTTAAGTAAAACCATAATCACCCCAAATTTAGGCTACCTTTATTGCCTTAAAAAATAGGCAAGGAGGCAGAATTATGATTTCTTTCTCTTCTAATGTATATGTTCTTCTTTATCCTACTCCCATTTTTCCCTGTCATTCCTCCGCTGTAAACATGACTGCATGCAGCCATACTGATATGTTTAATTCATTTCTTCTTATTTGTATTTGACCTCGTCGAGCATATGTTTTTTGTGTTTTAAACATTATTATGATATATTTTGCATAGCATAGTTCACACATTTCAAATATATAAATTCAAGAATTCTTAGTAAACTTAAAGTTTTACAGCCACAGCCATAAACCAGTTTTAGAATGTTTTCCTTCCCCTCAGAAAGGACCCTCATGCCAGTTACAGTTACTCCTTGTGTCCTCCCTGCCACGTCTGCTTTCTGTCTCTACCAGTTGGCCTCTTCTGAATGTACAGAAGTGAAGAATAGCGGGCGCTATATGTCTCACTTCTTTCTTCAAATAATTGCAAGCGTGTCGCCTTCCCCTATCCTTGGTGATGACCAAGGGTGCCGGGAGACCTTTGGTTGCGGGGTAGCTGGGCCCAGGCCCGCTCCGGGAGCGCAAGGCCTGGTTTTGGTGCTCGCACACTTTGGGGTCAGGGCTCACCAGAGGCTGCCCTCTTGGTTGTGGTGCTTGGACTTCGCAGCCACACTCACTTCACTGGGGTGCACACTTTGAGTCGCGCTGCTCGGGGGACCATGTGAGGTCTCCTGAGTCAAACCCAAGTCGGCCACTTGGCAGGGCAAGCAGCTGCCTGCTGTACTAGCTCTCCGGCCCCTCTTGGCCGCTTTTCAAAGCGGGCTTATATTTTGCACGGTTGAGTTGGTTAGTAGAGATCTTTTTTTATTCTCAGCATAAATGTCTTATCAGATGTACAACTTTCAAATGCTTTCTCACATTCTGTTGGCTGTCCTTTCACTTTCTTAGTCATGTCTCTTAACGCACAAGAGTTTTAAACTTTGATGTTTCCCAATTTGTCGTTTTTTCTCTCGTTGCTTATGTTTCTGGTGTCATGTGTAAGAATTTATTGCCACATCCAAGGTCGTGAAGATTTATTCCTGTTTTCCTTTAAGAGTTTTATAGACCTGGCTTTTAAAGGTGGGTCATGGATCTATTTTGGTTGATATTTATATGCAGTGTTTGGAAGGGAATATCTAACTTAATTCATAAACGCATATGGACATTCAGGTATCCCAGAGTCACTTATTAAAAACCATTCTTTGCCCATTGAATAGTCTTGATAACCTTTATTATTTTATTAATGCATGGACATTGCTACACTTCGTCAGTTCCATTGATCTTAATATATTTCTTAGATAAGTACCACACTGTTTTGATTGCTATAACTTAGTAAGTTTTATAATCAAGAAGTAAGAATTCTTCTACTTTCTTGTTTTTCACTATTGTTTGGGCTCTTTTGGATTCCTTTTAGTACTGTATTTTAGATTCACCTTGTCATTTCTGCAAAAACTACAATTTGCTTCTCAATTTCTAATAAGTGTCAGTTAAAGTGACAATTTTATCTTTTTTTCCTCCCTATCTTTATACTTCATACTAGTCAGATTTTCAGTTTTTTTTTAAGCATTATTAGTGGTGGTATCTTATCATGCTCATATTCTTAAAGAAAAAAATATAAATATAACTAAATTTTTCCCCAAAGCTTAATATTTTCTCCAGCTTTGGGGGAATAAAAGAATTATGAAGAAACTTCCTATGTACATTACCTAGAATTATTCCATTACAATTTTGTTAATTTCATTATAAATTTGTTATAGAAAGTATATATAAATCTACATTTATTGATATAATTGTATAATTTTTGCTTTTTTATGTTTAGTCATCTTTTTATTCCTGGGATAAACCTTCCTTTTAACTGAAACATTTTTTAAAGTCACATTGGATTTAATTTTTCTAAATTATATAGAAAAATATACATCACTCAAGAGGTAGAAATGAAAGTAGAAAGGACAAGAGAAAAGCAAACGAAAATAGACAACTTCAAAAACACACAGAATACACAGAGGTAAACGCCATTAAATGCATAATACAAATTGCATACTTTATCATTTGAGCTTCAAAGATAAAGCTAGGCTCAAAGTACAAGGTTGAAAAAGAAATCTTACAATCAAATGGTAACCGGGGAATGAAAGGGACAGCTATATTTATATCAGGTAGACCTCAAGCTGGGGAAAAACAGGGAGGGTAACAAGAAAAAGGGATGGACTTTATAGAATTACTAAGGGAATCAATCCATCATAAAAGAATACTCATTGACATGTATGGACATCAAATGAACCTTTATTTGATGTTTAAAATATCATTAAAATACTTAATAAAGTAATTATCAATGGGTTTTCCTCAATAATAGCAAAAAGCAAACAAACAAAAAAACAATTTAAAAAATGGCAGAAGAGATAAATCGATACTTCACCAAAGATGAAATCCAAGTACCAACAAACAAGAAAAAAAATGTTTCGTTTGTTTTGGTTTGGGGCCACACCTGTTGGTGCTTCGGGGGACCATGTGGTGCCGTGATCCACCTCAGAGCCCCGGCATGTAAAACATGAGCTCCAGATCTTTGAGCCATCTTCCCAGCACCGCCACCCCCATAAAGTGCTCATTTTCAAAATCAGGGAACTGCAGATCAAACTACAATAAGATACCATCTCACACCTGTAAGAATGTCCTATATTAAAAAGAGCAGAAGCAGAACTACCGACGGGCATGTGAAGACAAACTGTGCCCCAGGCACAGTTAAGAACAGTGTCCAACCTCCATCGGGAAAAGC